GGAGCGTGGGCGCGTGAGCCCACACAGCTTCCCTCCCTCGTCCGGGGCCGCCTCGGCCGCGGATCCCAAGGCGCACGCTTACCTAGTGGCAGCAGCTGAGACGGATTGGTGGTCGCGTTGGCCGCCATAACGACGCCGGAAGTGCACCGCGTCCGTCCACGCACGGCGGCTTTAAACGAGCGCGCTTCCGCTCTTCCCGCAGCCCGGCCAGGCACGACCAGTCGGAGGCCGAGCGGGCGATCGGGACGCTCCGCGATGCTCACCTTGCGCGCCCAGCCTCGGGGCTTGCCTCGGGAACGCGCTCCTCCTTTAACACGAAAGACGGCAAATGGGGCGACTTATCACCATCGTTTTGTCTTCCCCAGAGAGTTGCGTCTAGTCTCAAGCTGTCATCTTTTTTCAGAACGGTAAAATCAGTCCGACTCGCCGTCCTGCCATTTCTGCAAAAACTACTCATTTATTTCCTTGGGGAATCAGCCGCTTCTGAGTCCAGAGGACTGAAAACGAAAAACCAGCGTTCAGCATTTAAAAAAATAAAAACTTTACGAGGGATTTAAAATCTTTCAAAAATATTTACTACTGCAATTCATCGTTCTTTTTACCTGAGTCTAATTTAAAATTCATAGGCTTTTTATTACTTCCACAAGTATTGTCTAGCAGGCAACTACCAGATGTCCCTATATGTAGACGTCATTTGTAAAAATCATGCTTTTGCACGTCTTATAAAAAGAGTAGAAAGTAAACTCTTCCTCAGTCCATTTTGTATTTGCATCCTAGGAACTTTAAACAGTGTAAACATGAAAGGTCGCAAAGAACATCACTGATCCCAACAATAAAAGGTTGGTAGATACCCATCATGCCTTCATTTAACGGATACGTATAGCTACATGCTGTTTGCCCCGCAGTTTGCGAGGATAAAGCAATATTCAGACTAGAAAAGGTCTGCCCTTGGAGGAGCTTCAAGAAAAATGGGAGAAACAAGTACAAACTTCATTTACAAGGCACCATGAAACAACATATAAAGGAAATAATATTTGGGAGTTTCAGGAACCCTAGAGAACTAAACATTAAAAATTCCAATCCAAGGCCGGGCGTGGTAGCGCACGCCTGTAATCCCAGCACTCCGGAGGCTGAGGCAGGTGGATCGCTGTGAGGTCGAGAGCAGCCTGGGCTACATAGTGAGTTCCAGGTCAGTCTCAAGTACATAGTGACACCCTGTCTCAAAAACAAAGAAAAAAAAATCCAATCCAGTCAGTCCTAGCTTTTTGGGGAGGGACAGGGTCTTCCACACATTTTTGTTTGGCTGGTTGGTTTTCGGTTGTTGTTGTTGCTGTTGTTGTTGTTG